ACCAAAGCATTGCATCATTCCCGAATAAAGGATATATATGACATGTGTAATTATACTAAGGTTATAAGCAATAAACACGATGACATGAAACGCTATGGAGGTGCTCTGACGGTTGTTATTGGCCCAATGGCAACACGTTAAAGGGATGCAGCCATCGAATAAGCTTTCCAAAGTCTATTCAAAACTGTAAATTCACACTGTCTCAAGTTTTGCAGTGCTGCTGGGATACTGGAACATTCTTTGGGCAGGTAGATTTAAGCAGTTTCCTTCGTTGCTCAATTTTTGGTTCAAGCATATGATTTTGCAAAGCTCTGCCATGTGTAATCATTCCAACGGATTGTTCATTTTTATTTATTAACTTGTGATTGTCGTTGTATATAAATAGTTTTCTTCATAGTTTTGCTTCTCTTCTAGGAAAGTTGTTATGTAGTTGCTTACTGTGAGCAGGCATATCCTGTTTAAATTTTGAAAAACTGTTGGCTGCTCTAATTTTTCTACAATATAAGCTTACAGTTATACCAAAAATGCAAACAAAACAAAAAATGCAGAAAGCAAATATGAAACAGTGTAAAACGAAAACAAATAAAACTGAAGTACAGTGATACCGTAAAAATGTACTTCAAAGCCGCCGATATGTAAGCAGTAGAATATATGGAAAACATGGAAATATCGCTGCTGTTTCGAGGCTGAGATTATCAGTCTGCAGTGAATTTTTTCTTCCTACACGTTCATGCACTTAGACTGGATGTAGGTGTAAGAAAGGTAACCTTTGAGAGGTTGCCAAACAAAGTACGCATGCTGCCTCTATAGATATTATTATCATTCGTCGGAGTAACGAGCTCTTTATAAAATCGTGAATAAAAAATCCCGTTTTGTTCCTACTTTTACTTTATGAGACATTTACACTCATTTTTGTTGCACTTAAAAAATGACTACAGTAAAAATAGCTGCACAAAGCCGAAGTCTGAGGGCAATGGCGGCAATCGTATGGCTTCTACGGGGTCGTCAGCCTCCGAATGAAGAAAGAACTTATGCAATTTTGAGTAATTGGTGAATCGTTGAGTGAACTAATGAAATGATGTCCGTGCGATATTAATTAGCAAGACAAGGCACTCACGAA